CCACTCCCCCTGCTTGTGTTCCCTCTCTTGCTGCCTCTCTCTGACAAATAAATAAATAAAATCTTTAAAAAAAAAAATTAAAATATAAAGTTGGAGCAGACTTGCACATGGGATAGTCTAGATAGGGACTATACTCCTAGGACAGGTTTTCAGGATTATATACAGTGTCCAAAACTTAGGAAGCAAATAGTCAAAGGTAACATTTTTTGAGGTAAGCCTATTTGGAGAAAACGCGATCCTTCACAATGCCACTCTTGCTATTTGCTGTCTGAAACTCAGACAAATAGTCTAGGCTCAGATAACAGTATTTCTTGTTCTTATGATCCTTTATCCTCACTCTTGCTATCTTTACTCCAGTCTGGAATAGATGCAAGATCAGCATAGGGTAGAGTGCAGTGGAGTACCCTTAGACCTGTTTTCCTTGGCCTCCTCAGGCTAACCATGCTGGGTCCCTACATATATCTGAACTCAGTGGGAAGTGAGCAACCAAGGCCAGTTACTCAGGGTTTTTTGATACGATCTTTAGACAGCTGTATGTCTCATCCTGCAATCTTCCATTTAAACAGGGTTTGTAAGGGAACTTGACTACTTGTAAAATTCCTGCAAAAGAAGTAAGGGCCAAGAACAACAAAGATAATGTCAATGAAGAACAAGGTGAGGGACACATTCTCGGATACCAGAATTTATAAAACAATGATAATTAAGATGCCACATATGATCAAGGGATAGACTATTAGATTACTGGAACAGAGTAACAATCCCAGTGACCTACTTCTCTGTATCCATTTGCAGGCTAGTTCGTATGATAGCAATGAAATTCTGCTAATAAAGAATCTCAGTGCCCTAACACGTCAAAAATTTACTTACTGCCAGTCAGTCCTGCATGTTCAATGCGAGTTGGCAGCAAGGTGCTGCTCACCAGAGTTAACTCAGGGACCCAGAATGACATCTTTGCACATGCTATTATGATTACTAGGGCAGCAAGTGGGAAATGTCGCTTTTGCTCACATCTAAAGTCAAATGGCCATGTAAGTGTCTGAAAAGAGAAAAACTAGAATACAGCGATCCTCGTAGTCCTAGTTCACTTTCTCTGGTTTCAGTTACCCATGGTCAACCACAGTCAGGAAGCAGATGCTCCTCCTTCTGACCTATTACAGTGGGTCAACAGTAGCCTGACCCTACGTCACACAGCTTGTGTCATTCACCCCACTTCATCTCATCACGTAGGCCCTTTGTCATCTCAAATCATCACAAGAAGAAGAAAAATCACAGTACAAAAAGACTTTGAGAGTGACCACATTCACATAACCTTTATTACTGCATGTTGCTGTGATTTTTCTATTTTATTATTAAGTATTGTTGTTAATCTCTTACTGTGCCTAATTTATAAATTAAACTTTACCATATGTATGTGTATATATATATATATATATATATATATACAGGAAAAAACATGGTATATGTAGGGTTTGGTACTATCTGCAGTTTCAGGCATCCTCTGGGGGACTTGGAACAAATCCCATGCAGATAAGAGAGGACTACTGTATTTGCAAACAGCTCTAATGACTAGAACGTGTATATATGAAAACTAGATGTTTTGTATAAGAGAAACTATATAGTAAATTGTCCTGGGATAATTGATTATCCATATGGGAAAAATAAAATTAGCTCTCTATATCAAAAAAATGAATTGCAATGGAGTAAAGACCAAAGGGTGAAAATTAGAACTTTCAAGTTTTAGAAGTACATATAGGAAACTGGCTTTAGTATTCTTAAAAGAATTTCTTGGGGGTGCCTGGGTGGCTTAGTCAGTTGAGCAGCCTTGGCTCAGGTCGTGATCCCGACGTCCTGGGATCGAGTCCCGCATTGGGCTCCCTGCTCAGCAGGGAGCCTGCTTCTTCTGCCTGCCGGTCCCCCTGCTTGTGCACTCTCTCTCTCTGACAAATGGGTAAAGTCTTTAAAAAAAAAAAAAAAAGAATTTCTTGGGACGCCTGGGTGGCTCAGTCAGTTAAGCATCTGCCTTAGGCTCAGGTCATGATCCCCCAGTCCTGGGATCAAGCCCCATGTTGGGCTCCCTGCTCAGCATGGGAGTCAGCTTCTCCCCCTGCTTGTGCTTTCTCTCTCTCTCTCAAATAAATAAAGAAATAAAATCTGGGTTGTTTTTTTTTTTTAAAGATTTTATTTATTTATTTGACAGAGCGAGAGAGCATGAGCAGAGGGAGCGGCAGTGGGAGAGGGAGAAGCAGGCTCCCCGCTGAGCAGGGAGCCCAATGCAGGGCTCGATCCCAGGACCCTGGGATCATGACCTGAGCTGAGGGCAGATGCTTAACCGACTGAGCCACCCAAGCGTCCCATGAACTAAAGTTTAAAGTATTAACTCTGATAAATCTCATAACTGTAATATTGGGTGATAAGAGCAAGCTACAGATAGATACAAATAATATATTATTTATATATAGTTCAATTACATGCAGAATAATTCTAATTGTTATTTATGGATGCACATATAATTAATATCTAAAATGATAAGCACTGGGGGTACCTGGATGGCTCAGTCAGATGTCTGACTCTTGGTTTTGGCTCAGGTCATGATCTCAGGTTCCTAAAATCCAGCCCCCTGTCGGGCTCCCCACTCAGCGGGGAGTCTGCTTCCCCTCTCTCTCCCTCTGCCCCTCGCCCACTTATGCCCTCTCTCTCTAAGATAAATAAATAAATCTTAAAATAAAATAAAGTAAATAAGATAAAATGATAAGCACTAACATGAGGTTTGGGGTTACCTCAGAAAGAATAGGAGAGAAGAACAGGATTAGAGATCTAAAAAATGAATCTGAAGCAAAGATGGCAAAATGTGAATGTTTGACAAAGCTAGGTGATGAGTAAGGGTATTTGTTAAATTATTCTCTGCGCTTTATTCTGTGCTTGAAGTATTTAATAATAGAGAGAAATAACAAACTTGCCTCGCTGTGTTAAGAGGCTTACCTAAAGTCCTACAAATGTGGGCGCCTGGGTGGCTCAGTTGGTTAAGCGACTGCCTTCGGCTTAGGTCTTGATCCCGGAGTCCCGGGATCGAGTCCCACATCGGGCTCCTTGCTGAGCGGGGAGTCTGCTTCTCCCTCTGACCCTCTCCCCTCTCATGTTCTCTCTCTCTCTCTCAAATAAATAAATAAAATCTTTTAAAAAAATAAAATAAAGTCTTGCAAATGTGCCAGGAATCAGCAGGATTCAAACCTAGTCATATGCTTTCTGATAACCAACTGTTTTTTATTTTTCCTTTTTAAATATTCTGTAATTAATACTATCTTACTAATTGCCTTGAAGTCTTTGATGCAGGGGTGAGATCTCTGAGGCAAAGTTTCTGTCTCCTGTTTGAACATTCACTAGCTCGAGTACATTGTAGGAGCTCAGCCATCCGTTCAGTGCTTCATTGCTGTATACGGTGTTCTGCGTGGAGACAGAAGTTATGGTTGGCATAGCTGAGTCTAAATAATAATAAATGGTGTAATGACAGAATTTTACTATTGTAAGCGCTAGTAAGTTGAGGTGTTAAATTGATCATTCCAAAGTCTGAGATGGAATGGCAAGGGTTTTTAGTTTTCTCTGGCAGCTGTCTGAGAAATACGTTGTATGTTCACCATTGTCACAGAGTACTCCATATCACGTTATGAACTAGTAAATGGTACCTTTATAATTTTTTGTTTATTATTGTAGGTATCATAACTGGAGCATTTTACTCAGTCTCAACATTATTAAATCAAATGATACTGACATATTATAAGGTGAGTTTCTGTCTATACTGTGTCGCATGCCCGGCCAAGAATGTTTCTTAAACAGTGTAAATCCTGATAGCATGATCATAAGATTAAAGATTTATTGGGCGCCTGGCTGTCTCAGTTGGTGGAGCGTGCAACTCTTGATCTCAGGATTGTAGGTTCAGGTTCCACATGGGATGTAGAAATTATTTAAAAGTAAAATCTTAAAAAAAAAAAGATTTATGACCTTGTTGCTTTAAAAGATTTTCATTGGGCACCTGGGTGGCTCAGATGGTTAAACGTCTGCCTTTGGCTCAGGTCACAATCCCCGGGTCCTGGGATCGAGTCCCGCGTCGGGCTCCCTGCTCCGCGGGAAGCCTGCTTCTCCCTCTGCCTTTCTCTCTCGCTCTGTCTCTCACGAATAAATAAATAAAATCTTTGAAAAAAAAATAAATAAATAAAAGATTTTCATTTGTTTTCATTGAGAATACATTTAATCCAGTTTATAAAACACACAAAATGGAAAGCAGAAGGTATTATTGCTGTGACAATGCCTGTCTTTCTTCAGTACTTTTTATTTTTTATTTTTTTATTTTTTATTTT